ACATTCATATGAAACGTCTTTTAAGAAACATTAATTAAAGACGTGTATATTTCAACAGCCACTCGAGATGGATTAGCTTCTCCATCTATTTAATACTACTCATTAACCTTGTACTCTATAGGAAAGAAATGAAAAATTAATTCTGCTATCCATAGATCCATCTTTATCAGCTTCGCTGTGTATACATTTATTAGCAATCAGTTGTAGTTTTTTTATTGTAGAATCCAGTTTGTTGTAAAATGGATCACTGAGTAGGCAAAATATAAATGTATGCCTGGGGTGCATACATATAAATATCAACACAGATGGGAGTATGCCTGGGGTGCATATATATATAAATATAAACACAGATGGTTCTAAATGCCTTAGTCACCATGTCCTTGGATTTTAGGGGAAAATATGTTACTATTATCATTAATTTTGTAATAAAGAATAATCAATAATAATGACGATAATAATAAATAGGGTAAGCATGTCCAGTAGGCCTTGTAATGGACCCCCAATGCCATAAAATGGATGTGATAATGAAGACAATAAAAGCTTTAAATTAACTTTCAAATACTGTATTATATTTCAAACCACATCAAACACTTTTCCTGAAGAAAAAAAAATCTTAAGAGTCATTCCAATCTAAGGTATACTGAAAGACTGCTTTTCTGCATCCGGTATCCTTGTTTCCTATATACCGTTACTTGCTCAAAATGTTCGTGTTCTCTCTGCCGTACGTTGACAAAAAGACTGGACCCCTACCTGCCCTAGGAGAGCCGTTGGGTGTTCCATTGGGATTCGTGTTCACCTCTGCCCCAAAGATGTTGCTGCGTTGATGATCTCGAACTCTGCGGCACTGCGCCTCCTTTGGCGGCTCTTCTCCAAAGAGACGGGATTGAGTATCTACTCTAGATGTGGGGGTGGAAGACCCACTTGTGATGGAACCATTGGTGGCAGTGCTAGGATTACTTTCCTTGGTGGCAGCAGCACCATCTTTCTCAGGGGTGTCCATACCGTTACTTTCAAGCTTAGGAGCTTGCTCTGGGTCCTCCTTTGGAACTTCCTCGGCAGGTGTTGGCTTGGCCTTGGGCTTCATGTAATCATCGCTGTCTTCTCCAAAACTGATGGATGATCCACCACCTGGAGGCTTCAGGACCCTGCGAGAGAATATGACATTATAAGTATTGACCAGCCAGAGATATACACGTACATAGTTGTATGTATGCCTAAGTCTTGATTTCCCTAGTAGTGTAACTTGCCTAACTGCATGGTGTTCAGGTGTGGTAGTATCACTGGTGAGTTTGGTTTCCCCACCTGGTGGCTGATGTACTCTGCAAAGCGATCACAATTATGCCAGGGTCAAGGTAGTGGTGTCCAACGATTACTACCCAAACGCATGCAGACCTGATGCTCTATGTTCTTTGACAAAAAGAGAAACCATCCTCAGCTAACCTAAATTCAAGACAAAGAAATTTTGAAAATACATTTCCTGTATACCTATATACTTTCATGTGGAAACATACGGATGTGCTCTTTAATTTTTACTCGTAAACACACAAATTTTATATGAATGCAACTGTATGCGACATGTGACTGCATTTATACAAGTACAACTCGTTACTCTATTTCTCTTTCAAGGATCTATTGATAAACATGCATACACATACAAGCATACATACCCACTTATGCATACACATACAAGCAAACATACATACAGACCCACTTATGCATACACATACATACATACATACATACAGACCCACTTATGCATACACATACATACATACATACATACAGACCCACTTATGCATACACATACATACATACATACATACAGACCCACTTATGCATACACATACATACATACAGACCCACTTATGCATACACATACATACATACATACATACAGACCCACTTATGCATACACATACATACATACACACATACAGACCCACTTATGCATACACATACATACATACATACATACAGACCCACTTATGCATACACATACATACATACATACATACAGACCCACTTATGCATACACATACATACATACATACATACATACAGACCCACTTATGCATACACATACATACATACATACATACAGACCCACTTATGCATACACATACATACATACAGACCCACTTATGCATACATACATACATACATACATACAGACCCACTTATGCATACACATACATACAATACATACAGACCCCACTTATGCATACACATACATACATACATACATACAGACCCACTTATGCATACACATACATACATACATACATACAGACCCACTTATGCATACACATACATACATACATACATACAGACCCACTTATGCATACACATACATACATACATACATACAGACCCACTTATGCATACACATACATACATACATACAGACCCACTTATGCATACACATACATACATACATACACACTTATGCATACACATACATACATACATACACACTTATGCATACACATACATACATACATACACACTTATGCATACACATACATACATACATACACACTTATGCATACACATACATACACACTTATGCATACACATACATACACACTTATGCATACACATACATACACACTTATGCATACACATACATACACACTTATGCATACACATACATACACACTTATGCATACACATACATACACACTTATGCATACACATACATACACACTTATGCATACACATACATACACACTTATGCATACACATACATACATATATACATAAGTGTGTATATATGTATGTGTATGCATGATTTTTCCTTATGCGTTTGCAAGTACGCGTGCGCGCTATTTTGGCACCTTTCAGTAAATATCATCTTGAACGCAAAAATTAATATAAAAGCGCGTGAGAAGCCACGTAACTATTTGATTTTTGATAAAACTACACCTAAGAGTAATGAATGAATTCATCCCTTCAAACGTGGCAACCTCGCTTTTCGCCCACAGTCGAAAAGCGGTCCCTCGTGCGCACGTGGTTCACACCCTCTGCGTCCGTGGCGCCTGGAGAGTCAAATCCACGCCCGAAATCAGACTACGCCATAGGAACGAACAAAAATCAAGGAGAAACAGGGCAAGCTAAAATTTGAAAGAAAGCAAGTCTACACTGTGTATTGTTTTAACTTTTGTAATTTACGTCAAAATTTCAACTATACTACAACAACTGCAGTAATTATTGATGCAAAAGAAAGAAAGAACTTCTATTACAGTCGAAATGTATTAGCATTCGCCGTGCCACGGCTAAGCCACGGCCTTGTGCGGCACCTCCCCTTCCAGCAAAATCTGGATACGCCCTAGACCCACCCGCGCCCACATGATATTCAGGAACCCCGAGTTGCTTACAAAACATTTTTGCCCGTTTCAAAGAAACAGGTGTGTGTCAATTACGTACAATATGTACGCGTGTGTCTGCGTGTGCCGGTTTCTGTGTGCGTGTGTCTGCGTGTGCCGGTTTCTGTGTGCGTGTGTCTGCGTGTGCCGGTTTCTGTGTGCGTGTGTCTGCGTGTGCCGGTTTCTGTGTGCGTGTGTCTGCGTGTGCCGGTTTCTGTGTGCGTGTGTCTGCGTGTGCCGGTTTCTGTGTGCGTGTGTCTGCGTGTGCCGGTTTCTGTGTGCGTGTGTCTGCGTGTGCCGGTTTCTGTGTGCGTGTGTCTGCGTGTGCCGGTTTCTGTGTGCGTGTGTCTGCGTGTGCCGGTTTCTGTGTGCGTGTGTCTGCGTGTGCCGGTTTCTGTGTGCGTGTGTCTGCGTGTGCCGGTTTCTGTGTGCGTGTGTCTGCGTGTGCCGGTTTCTGTGTGCGTGTGTCTGCGTGTGCCGGTTTCTGTGTGCGTGTGTCTGCGTGTGCCGGTTTCTGTGTGCGTGTGTCTGCGTGTGCCGGTTTCTGTGTGCGTGTGTCTGCGTGTGCCGGTTTCTGTGTGCGTGTGTCTGCGTGTGCCGGTTTCTGTGTGCGTGTGTCTGCGTGTGCCGGTTTCTGTGTGCGTGTGTCTGCGTGTGCCGGTTTCTGTGTGCGTGTGTCTGCGTGTGCCGGTTTCTGTGTGCGTGTGTCTGCGTGTGCCGGTTTCTGTGTGCGTGTGTCTGCGTGTGCCGGTTTCTGTGTGCGTGTGTCTGCGTGTGCCGGTTTCTGTGTGCGTGTGTCTGCGTGTGCCGGTTTCTGTGTGCGTGTGTCTGCGTGTGCCGGTTTCTGTGTGCGTGTGTCTGCGTGTGCCGGTTTCTGTGTGCGTGTGTCTGCGTGTGCCGGTTTCTGTGTGCGTGTGTCTGCGTGTGCCGGTTTCTGTGTGCGTGTCTGCGTGTGCCGGTTTCTGTGTGCGTGTGCCGGTTTCTATGTGCGTGTGCCGGTTTCTATGTGCGTGTGCTTGCGTGTGCCGGTTTCTATGTGCGTGTGCCTGCGTGTGCCGGTTTCTATGTGCGTGTGCCGGTTTCTATGTGCGTGTGCCGGTTTCTATGTGCGTGTGCCTGCGTGTGCCGGTTTCTATGTGCGTGTGCCGGTTTCTATGTGCGTGTGCCTGCGTGTGCCGGTTTCTGTTGCGTGTGTCTGCGTGGTGCCGGTTTCTATGTGCGTGTGCCTGCGTGTGCCGGTTCTATGTGCGTGTGCCGTTTCTGTGTGCGTGTCTGCGTGTGCCGGTTTCTATGTGCGTGTGCCGGTTTCTATGTGCGTGTGCCGGTTTCTATGTGCGTGTGCCTGCGTGTGCCGTTTCTGTGTGCGTGTGTCTGCCGTGTGCCGGTTTCTATGTGCCTGTGTGCCGGTTTCTATGTGCGTGTGCCTGCGTGTGCCGGTTTCTATGTGCGTGTGCCGGTTTCTATGTGCGTGTGCCGGTTTTCTGTGTGCGTGTGTCTGCGTTGTGCCGGTTTCTATGTGCGTGTGCGGTTTCTATGTGCGTGTGCCGGTTTCTATGTGCGTGTGCCGTTTCTGTGTGCGTGTGCCTGCGTGTGCCGGTTTCTATTGCGTGTGCCTGCGTGTGCCGGTTTCTATGTGCGTGTGCCTGCGTGTGCCGGTTTCTATGTGCCTGTGTGCCGGTTTCTATGTGCGTGTGCCTGTGTGCCGGTTTCTATGTGCGTGTGCCTGTGTGCCGGTTTCTATGTGCGTGTGCCTGTGTGCCGGTTTCTATGTGCGTGTGCCTGTGTGCCGGTTTCTGTGTGCGTGTGCCTGTGTGCCGGTTTCTGTGTGCGTGTGCCTGTGTGCCGGTTTCTGTGTACGTGTGCCTGTGTCTGCGTACGTGTGCCTGTGTCTGCGTACGTGTGCCTGTGTCTGCGTACGTGTGCCTGTGTCTGCGTACGTGTGCCTGTGTCTGCGTACGTGTGCCTGTGTCTGTGTGCAAGATTGCGTGTGTGTGTGTGTGTGTGTGTGCAAGATTGCGCGCGCGCGCGTGTGTGTGTGTGTGTGCAAGATTGCGCGCGCGCGTGTGTGTGTGTGTCTGCAATATTGCGTGTGTGTGTGTGTGTCTGCAAGATTGCGTGTGTGTGTGTGTCTGCAAGATTGCGTGCAAGATTGCGTGTGTGTGTGTGTCTGCAAGATTGCAGATTGTGTGTGTGTGTAAGATTGCGTGTGTGTGTGTGTGTGTGTAAGATTGCGTGTGTGTGTGTGTGTGTGTAAGATTGCGTGTGTGTGTGTGTGCAAGATTGTGTGTGTGTAAGATTGCGTGTGTGTGTGTGTGCAAGATTGCGTGTGTGTGTGTGTGCAAGATTGCGTGTGTGTGTGTGTGTGCAAGATTGCGTGTGTGTGTGCAAAATTGCGCGCGCGTGTGTGTGTGTGTGTGTGTGTGTGTGTGTGTGTGTGTGTGTGTGTGTGTGTGTGTGTGTGTGTGTGTGTGTGTGTGTGTGTGTGCGTGTGTGTGTGTGCAAGATTGCGTGTGTGTGTGCGTGTGCAAGATTGCGTGTGTGTGTGCGTGTGCAAGATTGCGTGTGTGTGTGCGTGTGCAAGATTGCGTGTGTGCGTGCATGTGAGCATGCATACATACAGAT